TGGCCTATAGACTACGCCTATCAGTGACTTTTTCCTCTTAGAATTTCTAATTTCCACCCAAATGGATTCAACCTCATTCTCCATAGAACCAATATCATCTCTCAGCACTGCCCTGATGTCGTCCTTGAATATCAGAGCTACACCACCTCCCTTACCTTCCTGTCTGTCCTTCTGAATAGTCTGGTACCCTTGGATATTTAACTCTCAGTTGTGACCATCCTGTAACCATGTCTCCGTAATGGCTACCAAATCATGTTCATTTGCGATGATTTGTGCCGTTAACTCATCAACCTTGTTACGAATGCTACGAGCATTCAGGTAAAGTGCCTTTATGCTAGCTTTCTTACCCTCATGATTTCCAACATCTCTAATAATATCTCCTGAGTTATCCTTCCTTTTTGCTTCTTTCATAGTCGCCTTAAACCCTCCTGCACACATGCTAACCTGCTGCTTACCTTTTTATTTACCATCATACTCCCTGTCATTTTCCCTTTCCCTCCCCCCAACTCACTAGTTTAAAGTCCTAGTGACCACCCTATTTAGCCTTTTCGCTGGAACACTGGTTCCAGATTGGTTCAGGTGGAGACCGTCCCATCGGTACAGATCCCTCCGGTTCCAAAACTGATGCCAATGCCCCATGAAATGGAACCCCTCTTTCCCACACCACTCCCTTAGCCATGTGTTTACTTCCCTAATTTTCTTATCCCTAAGCCAATTTGCACGTGTCTCTGGCAGTAATCCGGAGATTATGACCCTCGAGGACCTGTTCCTTAATTTCGTTCCTAGTGCTTGATAATCCCCAAACAGGTCCTCCATCCTAGCCTTGCCTATGTTGTTAGTCCCAACGTGGACCACAACAACTGGATGAATGAAAGAAAATCCCTGATATACACTTTATCAGAAACAAGTAACAAATTATTTACTTAACCCTAACAGTGAACAAATTAAAGAACTACTAACAAACAGAACAATTTTCCCCAACTCCTAACTATTCCCTAACTGAACAAGATTCTACTGGTATGCTATTCCACTAAACATGAGTCCCACTTATATAACGCAAGTAGTAAGAAAAAAAATTAAAACTTGTTCCCTCAAAATCCACAAAGAATGTGTCTTCCGGAATGCTCTGCCTTCTCCACTGTCTCTCCAGTCATAAACCCCTTTCTTCTGCTGATCTGGGTGTCAGGGATGTTTTCTCTGTGAATTCTTCTGTGAGAACTCTTAGTTAAAAGTGCCATGGTTCTTTAATGGATAGATGGTGCCTTCTTAGAGAGCTTAGCGATTCCTTGTGAGAGCTAGATGCTTGTTCTTAGATGACAGTTTGCTCTCACATTGATTTTCAAAATCCCTCTCCTTGTATACCTTGGATGACATCAATTTTCTTACAATAGCATTGGTCTGAGGTTGTCAAAACCATCAGATTTAAACTCAAGTGACTTTCAATCACCAAGTGCTTGGTTTAAATTAATTAGCTGATTCCAGCTATTTACCAAAACATCAAAACAAGCCTAGGGCTTCCAATCACACAGTCAATTGATACATGTTTCCATCTTAGAACTGGCTGTACATCTTAAGCTACATACAGACATTTTTTTTTCTGTATAAATCTCTAAGCTTAGAAAAGCACTTTACCTCTTAAAGGGATCACACACTTGTTCTCCCTTATCATTTTTTTACAAACATATTCTTGCTCCCTGCCTTCCAATTCACAATTACTCGACACAACTTTGTAATATTCTATCCTACATGTGACTCCAGACCCAGAGCAATGTGTTGACTCCCAACTGTTGTTTGGGAAATTAGGGATGGACAATAAATGCTGGCCTAGCCAGTGACACTCACATCCTGCGAATGAATACATAGTTGGTACCATAAATGTAAATGGTTTAGACTGTCAAAGGGGAATCATGATGTAAAATTTGGACATGATAACAAATTGGAGGACTGCACCAAAATATGGGATGATATAAAATGGCTTGTGGAGTTTGTGAATAATGGCAAATTAATTGAAATACAATAAAATGTGAGCTGGAATTCCAAGTAGCAATGCAGATGATAAAGCCCAATCAATGGGGGAAGTTTATTGGAGTTATTACAATCACAAATTTATGCATATTTACAGTGCAATCTAATGAAATACCAGTAACTTTTTATTTTAAAATGAATGAAGTTTGAAATTACACGATACCGTTGTTTTAAAGAACACATTAAACTTTGTTTTACTTTTCTAACTTATATAATAATGTACTGGTATGTACAAATTAAAGTCAAACATCCAGAATTAACATGAGGTAGCTATGGATTAACAGCTGAATTCCTATGGTTGGATACCCCACCATGCATGTCAAAGAATAGATGTGGTTAAGACAGGTTCCAGAGATCTCTCAACAACATCCTCCGATATAGTGATGCTACGAGTTCCCAAAATCTTGTTAAAGCAATTATTTGCTTCTGACGATCTAGCTTTGGAACTCCCTCAAAGACTGTTCCGTCATGGAACATCTCAACGACTACTCTTGTCTTGGTAGCTCATCATTTTCTAAACGCCATTGCAAAATTTCTTGAGAATGCCCAGTGACTGTTTCTTGAGACATTAATTTCTCCTGACTGCCTAGTGCTCGGATGGTGATGGCTAGCATGAGGGGACATAGCTTTAAATTGATGGGTGATAGATATAGGAAGATGTCAGAGGTAGGTTCTTTACTCAGAGAGTAGTAAGGGTGTGGAATGCCCTGCCTGCAAAAGTAGTAGACTCGCCAACTTTAAGGGCATTTAAATGGTCATTGGATAAACATATGGATGATAATGGAATAGTTTAGTTTAGATGGGCTTCAGATTAGTTTCACAGGTCGGCGCAACATTGAGGGCCGAAGGGCCTGTACTGTGCTGTAATGTTCTATGTTCTATGTTCTATGACTGTGAACATCAGCATCTCTGCTGCCTTATTGACCAGCAGCCCAAAGGTAGCAGCCTTCTGCTTGAACTGCCACCAACCAACATGGAGTCACCTTCTCTAATTCTCACTGGCTGTTGAACTGCTGTTCAATGATCCTTAAACTATTTTGCTTGATCTATCGAAAACCATCACAACAAGCTTTGCCCCTGTTCCTTGGCAATGTTGAATGCAGCAACCTTTGGAACAACTAGAGCCGATGTTATAACTTCCAGCAAATGAACTCTTCACAAGCTGCCAGCTTCAAACACACACAACAAAAACTGATCTTAGTACAGGGCTAATCCATGGGGGAGGAGGTTACAATATCAGGGAGGTACGGCTAAATTTATATAGAAGTTAGGCTTGCTCACTCATTTACTGAAATTTTACACAGAAGCATTGACCCCATCCCCTGATCAAAATATCAGGAGCACGTCCACTTCCAAAGGGTGGGAAACCTTAATCTAATTTTATGGCCAACAGTTGAGAGGGCCTGGTTGTTGGATGCACCCCCATTTATAAGGATGTCCTGCCTCCAAGAGCTATCAGGCAATCAGATGATTGGCAGCTCTCCAGCCTTGAGCCGTGGCACTGGGAGTGGTAGCCATCCTGGGATTGTAGCTGGTGACTGATGGGGAGCAGTATGTAGGATGAACTGTAAGGTAAGTGGGAGGGGCCAGACAGACAGGGTCCACCAAGGCAGATAAGGGGTTGCAACTAGAAGGCCTAGAAATGTAGAAGATGTGGCAGTCGATCCTTGTTGTGGGGTGGGGGTAGAGAGCTTCCATTGGGCACAGTATATCTGAACAGGAGGGACCTACACCAAGGCCAATGCCAGGATTTAAGAGATGATCTGGAGGCCTCACCATGTGGCATTGGGCACCTCTGTTGCTGTGAAAATGCCAGCAGTAGCCTTTTAAGGGCCTTTAATTGCCCCAAGGGTGGATATATCATCTAACCTCAATCCCGCTGCTGGCTAAATTCCAGTGGGAGTGGGCAAATGACAGGCCTGGCACACCTGCCATGCCACCCTTCTGAAGACCGATTTGGGGATGGGCATAAAATTCCAATCTTTGAGTACTGTGTGCAGTTTTGATTTCAATGCCAACCAGAATGATGTTGAACCACTGAAGAAAATGCACAAAAAGATTGATTGGTAAAAGAATTGAGAGGATGTACCTATCATGAAAGATTGCATAGCCTGGGGTGCTTTGTCTGGAATAAAGAAGATCAAGAGGAGACTTATCGGAGTCTTTTCACATTTTCAAATTCCTTACATTAGTTTAATATGGAGAAATTGTTTACCCATGTGGACAAGTCCAGAATATGGACATAAATTCAAAACTGAATTGACAGATTAAACAAAGGTATAAGGAATCACGTTGGGAGTAAGGATCTGTATCACACTTGTCACGCATAGTGGTTGAAGCAGGTAGCACTAACTTATTCAATTGGAGAGTTGATGTGTACAAGTATATTAAGGGAGCTTGGGCTACGGAGTTATGGTGGGAATAGGACATTACAGTGGTAGGAGGCTGATGTGGAATACAGACATTCAGATAGATCAGTTAAGCCTGATAGCCTGCATCTGGATTATACATCTTTAAAGTTTATTCTCTCGTGGGATGTGGGCATCACTGACATGGTCACTTCTACTCACCCCTTATTACACAGTTAAAGGGCGATCAAAATTCTGTGGAAAGAGAAGGAAAGTGCTGTAGAAACTCAGCAGGTCTGACAGCATCGGTAGAGAGACAAACAGAGTCCAGTGAGTCTTTGTTAGAATTGCTGTGTAGTCCAGAGTAACATGTAGGCCAGTCTGGGTAAAGATGGCTGAAACAAAGTATGGGTGGTTGTAGACAAATGACACAGAAGACTGACATATTTCTTGCTCTTCATTGAATTAAATCCTGGATCCAAGAGGACAAAATTCTAAGTTTCATGGGGGCCAAGTCGGGTATTTGGACAACTTACCTTGTCAAACCCAGAGCAGGGCTACATGTTGGCCTTTCAGCCAGGAATATCACTTGTACAGCTTAGCAACTCTCTGTTTCTCTTTCTCCAGCAAATCTGTGTCCCCTTCCTGGTGCAACTGCTTGGGTGGAAGCTTGGAAGCCAACCTTCTACGTATTGACTGTACCAGGCTGAAAATATAACTCAGATCAACGCAGGAATTTCCAGGGTGTTTTGAAGTGTTAATCTGCTGGGGATGTCGGACAGATCAAAAGCCAAGCGAAAACGTTGACAGATTTTGCTTAATGTTAAATAGTCACATGGCATCTCCAGTTTATCATCCTGTTGCCTAGTCTGCTATTCCTGATTTTGAACAAAATGAAAATCTGGTTCATCTAACACATTATTTTCTCCCCTTTCTGCCTTAGTATTCTCTTTGCTTATTGAGACTATGTTCCAATATATATTGATTATTTAAATATATCAAAGTTTTGTATGTCTCTGTACGTTATCAGTGATCTTTGAACTAATTAATGTTGTTGCAATAATATTGAAATAAAATGACTTGTAATAACACTTTGGACCTCTTTTTTCTTGACCTTACAATCATTCACTTAGCCTTTCCTACTATGTAAACTGATTGTGTATGATTTGTAATTAGATTATTAATATGGAGTCTCTCACTCTTACTTTATGTTAATCTTTCATCTTTGGTTTCTCTTCCTTCACTTTAAGTTCATCAATGTCTCCTTCCTTTTCTATAAGAATATACAAGTTAAGAGCAAGAGAAGGCACTCAACCCTTTAACCCTGTTCCACCATTTGATAAGATCATGGCTGATCTGATTGTAACCCTAAATCCACATACCCACCTATTTTGATATCGTTCCAACCCTTTGCTTATCCAGAATATATCCATGTCTTCCTTAAAATTATTTAAAGACATTCTTTTGAGAAAGAGAGTTCCAAAAGCTCTCAGCTTACTGACAGAAACTTATTTGCTCATTCCCTTATTTATAAGCAGTGACCCCTATTTCCGAATCTCCCACAAGAGGAAGTATTCTGTCCACATCCAACGTGTCAAGACCCCTCAGGATCAGTCAAATCGGCAATTACTCTTTTAAACTGCAGGAGATATAAGCCTAGCCTGTCCAATCTTTTCTCATAAGACTACCACCCCACCCGCCCCGATTCCAGGCATTAATCTAATAAACCATCTTTGAACTGCTTCCAATGTATTTACATCCAACAGTTTACAGAAAAAACAGATCATCTAACCAATAGCCTGTATAAATGAAGCATAGCATCCCAAGGTGTAGAGCTGGATGAACACAGCAGGCCAAGCAGCATCAGAGGAGCAGGAAGGCTGACGTTTCGAGCCTAGACCCTTCTTCAGAAAGACCCTTTACACCTTGGTACCTCAGATTCTCCAGCATCTGCAGTTCCTACTATCTCCATAACATCCCCAGTTTTAGATTCAATTTCCCTCAGATTAAACAATAAGATTCTGTTAGCTTTCCTAGTTAACTTGCTTTAATTGCATACTAGCCCCCAAAACATTGATTCATGCAGTCGAACTTGCAGACCCCTCTCTGAACTTTCACTGTTAAGGGAAAATAATTCTTTTATTTACTTCTATCAAAATAGAACATTTCACATTTTACCACATTATACCCCATTTGCCAGATCTTTGTCCACCCATTTAACCTATTTCTTATCTTGCTTTCACAAGTTATTTTCTTTGTACCTTACTCATTGAAACTTTCAGAAAACCGAGAAGCCTGGATAGCGTGGATGTGGAGAAGATGTTTCCTCTAGTAGGACAGACTAGGACCCGAAGACACAGCCTGAGTGGTGGGATGACTCTTTACAACTGAAATGAGGAAGTATTTCTTTAGCCAGAGGGTGGTGGATCTGTGGAATTCCTTGCTGCAGGAAGCGATAGAGGTTAGATCACTGTGTATATTTAAGACAGAGATAGGTTCTTGATTAGTAAGGGGATCAAGGATTACAGAGAGAAGGCAGGAACATAGCGTTGTGAATCATGTGAGTCATGATTGAATTATGGAGGAGACTTGATGGGCTGAATGGCCTAATTCTGCTATTATATCTTGTGGTCTACCTTTGTGTCATCAGTAATTTTAGTAACCATGCCTTCGGTCCCTTTATCAAAGTCATTTATAAAAATTGTAAATGTTGACATCCGTGTGGTGCATCATTCATGTTGCCAAAGTGGAAAAGAATCATTCATGCCTACTTTATCTTTCCTGTTAGATAGCCTACATGTTTTCCACAATAAACTTTGTTTGGCACCTTATCAAATGCCTCCTGGAAATCCAAGTGCATGATATGCACAGGTTCACCTTTACTGACAGCACATTAACTTCTTCAAAGATCTCTCATATATTGCTTGAACATGGTTCCCCTTCCATAAAACCATGTTGATTCTGTCTGATTACCCTGAATTTTACTAAGTGCTCATACAACCTATCTATATCTATAATCTACTGCTATCCTCTTCTCAACATGCCTTCCTGTGTATCTCTGTGTCAGCTGCAAATTTAGCTGCCTTCATCTAAGCCCTTGATATAAATTGTAAAATGTTGAGACTCTAGCACAGACCTGTGCTGGTTCTCACATACATCCTGCCAACAAATAATAAAGTTTATCTCTCCCTTCCACATTCTGGTTTACAGGTATTTCTGGATTCTTTCTGTTTTCCCACAGAGAAGACAGAAGCAAAACATTTACACTAGTTAAAAGTAGTATTCAAAATTATTTACACAAGGAAATAAACATACAGCGAGTTCAATAAATTAGATAGATATTGCAACTGAAATGTAGAATCTATTCTCAAGAGTTAAAGATAACTTTTTCGAAAAATACATTATTTTGCACAGCCCATTGTATAAGTGTTTGTAGGAAACTGTATTTAGGAAGTTGGTATTGCTATTCTTGGAACATCATCTAACCACATCATTGTTTTCAACTTTGCACTCCATCAGGGATATTCATAAATACGGTTATTAACATAGATTCACAGGTTTAGCATCAATTTTAAAGACAACACTGTGTGGAGTTGGAGGAACACAGCAGGTCAGGCAGCATCAGAGGAGCAGGAAGAAGGTTCTTTCTGAAGAAGGGTCCTCACCTGAAACGTCAACTTTCCTGCTCCTCTAATGCTGTCTGATCTGTTGTGTTCCTCCAGCTCCACACTGTGTTATCTTTGCCTCCAGCATCAGCAGTTCTTACTGTCTCTTAGCATCAATTTTGTTCTTTTTTGAGTAAGACAATCAGTCACCTAATAGAATAAAGAATTGTGGATGTTGGACATCTGAAACAAGCAAAAACAGAAATTTCGAGAAAAACTCAGTAGATCTGTGTAGAGGAATCAGAACTAAAGATCTGAAGTTGGGTAACTGGACCTGAAGCATTGAGTCTGTTTTCTCTGCACAGGTGCTGGCAGACCTGCTGAGTTTCTCCAGTAATTTGTTTTTGTTTCAACCATTTAATATGAATGACACACCCAAGTCTTATCAATTTGCACGTCATTTTTCAACTAAAATAAGAATACACAAAGTGTAGGGCAGGCAAAGAAACACTCCAGAGCCTCTGTGGAGAGAGAGGAGTTAACTTCCCAAGCATCTTCTTTACAACTGTATCTTTGCGCACTTCTCTTGGCGTTGCTCCTTTACATTGGAGCATGCGCAGTAGCAGGCCGGCGATTTCGCGCAGGCGTGGTACGGCGGCGGCGTGGACGCATGCGCCTTGGTTGGGTGCCAGGAAATGGCGGAGGTTCGGCGTCGCTGCCGGGATGTGACTGACGTGCCAGCAGCTCGTCGCCTGATGCGAGCCGTTCGGGGCTGAAATGGCAGGAAACATGAGCGGTAATTATGTGCAGCTCGCCGAGCGTCTTTTTGTTTTGTGTGTGCTGTCGCCGTGTGGGTTCGGCTCAGTGGTCGGGGTGAGGGCTGTTTCCCGGGGGGGGCAGAAGAGATTCCTCCCTCCCTCAGCCTTTTTATTGTTATTACTAACCTCATCACACCAAAGGCAGGCCCATTTACTTTGCTTCTGCATCCGATCTTTCCTCTGCACCATCCCCAAACGCATCCTTCCAATAAAACTCTTTTTTTCTTTTATTAAAAGAAAACTTGTTTGTGATTTTTGTTTCTTCCTCCGCCCCCCCGTCCTCAAAAGAATTTTAACCGTTTCATTGTCTCCAGTCCATTCAATTGATGTCGTGAGTGGGGTTGTGGTGGAAACAACAAAGTATGACAAGACAGGAAAAAGCTTTTTCAGTCCAAGTGGTGAGCCAAGACCACTCGCTGCCGGAAGTGAACGACCTAACCTGGCAACTTGAAATGCCAGAGTAACCCACGCTGGTTACATAACCAGGGCAAAGCCCTTCAGGGTTGTTTACTGTAGCTACTTGGAACATTTCGCAAACACTGCGTTTTGTCAGGCAGGGAGAAAGCAAGCTGGCGGCTTCGTCGGTTGGAAAGTTTGAAAGTAACACGAAACAGTCCA